CTACAGCCTGTAGCTGCAGATCTTCAGGAAGCTCCAGAGCGCTCCGAGCGCCCCAGTTCGCGCGGTGAGGGAGCATGTTGCTCTTGCTCTCAGTGACTGACGCGTACTCAAAGACAATCCGTTCTGCCTCGAAGCCGACGCCACGCGCGATGCGGTCATCGATACGCTTGTCTTGGCCGCCCAGATGCGCCACAGCGCGGCCGACGGACGCATAGAGCGTCAAGCCGCCAGGCAGCCATTCGACGAGAGGCAAAGCTGTCCCAGGCAACGACTCTTGCGGCGCATCTGTGTATGCACTGCTGGCTGCCGTATGGGCACTCTTCTGCTGCTGTTGCGACGGCTGCGCGGATCCGTCTCGAGCCGTTTTGGCACGGACAAGGGCTTCAGCAATATCGATATAGACTTCGAGCGCGCAGGGATGCCAAAGTTCGACGTCTACGTCCTCGATGTTGGAGCGGAACTCGGCCACAGCGTCGCTGGCAGATAAGTATGGCACCTCGATGCGGCGTCCCGGGCCCAGCAGCTCTACGTTACCAGGGACGCGCCCAGAGCCTGCAACCTCAAAGCTGTGCATAGCCAGGAGGTGGTGCTGCGATGAGCCGACAGTCGGTGTGGTAGGACGCGCGGGCCGCCAGAAAGCCCGTCGTGTCGCATCCGGGTCCGCGCTGAGAGCCAGAAACGCCTCGACGGCTTCGACACGCAGCGAAGTCTCAAATTGATAGCGTAGGCTGAAGCGAGTCTCGGCTGCCATCGACGACCGACGGGTGTAGCCGGGCACACGGACCTTGCCCGTTTTGGACATCATGTCGCGGATGGTAGCGCGTCGACTTAGAGGGGGCTGGTCCTGCGACTCTTGCGACTCTTCTGTGGACGGACCAGAGGATTGCAACTCTGTCATGCGCCTTAATGCCTCGTCCATGGGCAGGTCGCGCTCGGCGTAACGCTCGCGACTTGACAGCGAGTCAAAGGTGGAGGGGTTCTCGGAGTCGGCGTGAGCCTGGTCCGACGTTGCTGACTGTGGCCGTCCATCTTTGCGATCCAAATTGCTTCGCTTTGCACTTCCGCGGTCTTTCGTCGCCACGAAGCCGGCCTCCTGCAGGGTAGTTGTCGACAAGCCGCGTCCGCTGAGAGGCCACTCGAGAGCATCGTTCCGCAAGGCCTTGTACGCTGCCCTCTTCTCTGCCATGGGACGTCTGACGTACTCGTCCCGGTATTCGGCCTCGAAACCTAGGTCGACCGAAGGGACAGAGATAACCAGCTTGCGTTCGTAGAAGTCCGGGCCCTGTAGTCTGCCATCTGGAGCGGTGCTGGCATCGAGCTGGACCGAGAGCCTCTCAATGTGCAGACCGGCAGCGAGTCGTGGCAGATTGCGGAGCCGTTCAAGCTGCGTCTTCGGCCGAGGCGGCTCGTCCAGATTAAGACGACCTCGAACTGCAGCTCGTCTGTGGCCAACCTCGTTCGCCAGTCGGATCAAAGCGACCAACTGACCAAGGGTTGCTTCGGAACGAACCTCGCCGATTGTAGCTTCAGCTACGGCCGCATGCTCGTTGGGATCACTGAGAAAGAGCAAATGCGAGGCGTTGAGGCTTGCAGGTGATGCGGGGAAGATGCCGAAGGGCGTCCAAGTGGAACGGATCACCGTAGAGATATCACCAATGAAGAAGACTCTCGACTTGTCGCCTCCGTCGCGCGGCATTCTGCAGTCGATTTCCAGACTAGCCACGCCAAAGTCAAACAGAAACGCTCGGCGGTGATCCACGAGCGCCTTTCGCCGCGAAATGCTGCCACGACGCACTCTTGGCGGGGGCATCTGCGGTTTTTTGGACGTTTTCATGTTGGCAGCAAGCCGGCCAAGGGATGATGTCGGGGCCATTCCGCACGTGCCAAGCCATCGACAGTGCATGTCGTCACTCGGATGACTGGAGCGCAGGTCAAAGTGAAGACCCGTTAGCGACAGCTCCAGTGTCAGCTCAGGTGACGTCGTGCCGCTTATTGCCGGGGCAGGCCCAGACGAGCTCTCAGTTTCTGTTTCAGCGGATGCGAGGAGGGCCGCGGAGGTGGCCTCTACGTGGATGGAAGGCAGGGATATCGACAGCGACGAGAGGATGCCGAGCGCCTTAGCGGCAGCGGTGGGGCGCTGCTGGACAAGGTGTTTGGAGAGAAGGGATCGTCGATCCTCGTCCATCCCCTGCTGCGTTGGCGCGAAGCCTGTGCGCCTAGCCTTGCGCTCCTCGACGATGCGAAGAACCCGAAGGACAGCATCCATGCCGACCGTCATTGTTCCGAGCGAGATACTGGCGTCCAGCGTCTCGTCGGTGCCGAGCAGTCCGTTGGAGCCTAGCAGCAGGCCTGCAGACAGTTCCGTGGTGCCCGGCAGGCTGAGCAGGCGAGCAGAAGCCGGCACATTGCGTAGCAGCCTGGCAGGGATGTTGGCGTCAAGATGCTCCTGAGCCCATCCCGTCTCGGCGCTGAAGTCGGAGTCGGACAAGGGCTCGAGTGCCCAGTCCGCCCAGCGATCTGTGAAGCCACGAAGCGACATCGACGACATGCTGGACAGCTTCGACGCGCTGTTGCTGCGCTGCAGCTTTGGCGAGGCACACGAGTCGGACCAGTCGATGCTGTCGTCAGCACCTGAGAGGTCGCCGCCCGTCGGGGACATGCAGCGAAACGAGTCGTCGCGGTACCTTGCCCATCTCCCTGACCCTTGACGCGACTGCGGCGGTGTGACAATGTTGGATAGCTGTGAAAAACTGGAAAGACGGCTTTGAGAGAGTTCTCTGCCATAGAGTCGCTGCGGGAATCGTGCCTCGAACATCTGTATAGACTCTAGGCGCAACTGCGCCGAGATCATGCTCGGCGAGATACCAGCGGCGAGGTAGGAGAAGGCTTCTCGAGCGCCGGATCCCACACGAGTGGGCATGTTGCGAACGGTCGCCATATACTGCGCCCAGGTCGGGGGCGGGGCCGCACATTCGGACTCTTGAAGACAGGTGTCTTTGGCTGCGTCGTTCGGTGCTCGTCTCGCTTGTGGTGCCATGGCAAAGTTGATTCCGGCTCTGCCGATCCGCGTTACGGCCTCAACCTCTTCGAGGTATATCTCGATCCGGTCTACTTCAATCGAAACCAAAGAGGTGAGCATAGGCAGGCTCGAAGTGAGCACGTAGAGGGCCGCGCGGAAGGAGCGAAGGACGAGGCTGCGAAGAGCGGGAAAGGCAGATGCACGAACCCAGTTTGCGCAGCCGAGGACAGTGTGGAGCGACAAAATGCCTGCACGTTGGACTGTGCTGGCAGCAGAGCTTCCGGAACGCTCGTCGTCTGTGTTCCCGTGAGAACCGCAAGCGCTGTCATGGGTGGACTCGAATACTTGCAACGATGGCGCCGGTATCGTAGAGGACGGCAGCTGGAAGAGCGACTGTGGTGACTCAGACGTTGGGGACATTTTGGGGCTGCTCATGAGTCGTTGAAGTCGCTCCTCCTCCTCTTCTTCCAGCCTACTCTGCTGATGCTCGATGCAAGCATCGAGGCGCGATGCGGTCGAAGCGTCCTGTCGAGATTCATTGTGAGGCTTGGTGTCACGCTTAAGTGACGTCGATTCGGATCGAGGAAGTCGTATCCCGACTCCTTGGATATGGACTGTGATGATTGCTCGGCCACGCCGAGAACGCTGAGGCGGTGTTTTGGCGCGACGATCTTGATACTGAGAAGCTGACTGTGCTGAACGGCGTAGTGACGGCAGGTGAAAGGAGGCGTAGATGCGCTGTACTTTGACCTCGAGTTGGCCCTGACGACCGAAAGCAGCCGAGTCACTGTGAAAGCCCTTGGAGCGATACTCGATGCCACGTATGCCGCGAAGACCCGCTCTCTGGACTCGGAGCTTGCCCCGAAAGAAGATGCGTGGAAGACGCGGCAGAATGGATCGGAAGAAGATTGCAGTGATGACCAACCCCAGCAAGAACGCCAAAAGGATGCGCCAAACACTCATCGTGTTCGAGACTCCTGTCGTCGAGCCCATGTACGGCATATCCATCCTTTCAGCGCTGATTTGTGTCGATGGTGGGCGGTGGTGCGACGCGACCTTCTTAGTTCGCTGCAGTTGCGTTGCCTGTTAGCATGATGGCCACGTTGACACGATCTAGGTGGAGGAAGACAGGTCTTCGTTTGGGTTGAAAGGTCGTAACGGAAGTGCCATGGGCAGTGGAAAGGGTCGGAGGGCGCAAGATGCGTGTTTGCCAAATCTGCGTCGGTCTACTACAATCCCCAGGCGATGCGATACCAGCTGGTTTCGGCAGGCCCGATTAAGCCCAAGTCGCTCAAATCTATGGCGTAGTTGCCGGCGAGACCAGACACGGCGCGATTGAGGTGAGGGCGTGGACGAGCACACTTTGTTGCTAGCGAGCGATTGTTTCCAGAGTACAACGCGACGAAGTCCTTCTTTTGAAAGAGAACTCGATGGGGACCAAGTAGGACCAGCCGAGGGGGCGCGGGTGTAGGAGTGTGGAGGAGGATGCCGCGGGGGCTCGGCTTCCGGCCTTGCATGCAGCAGGCTGCACGGAATCACTCTACCGCACTTGTTCACGGAATGCGCGCACCCTGCTTTTTCTAACGTACTGTACTACTCCTCGACGAAACGGGAGAGACTCTTCATTTTGAATTGTTCTCGGAAATCATGCAGCTTTCTGGTCTGGACGCATACTGTACTGTATCACTTTCAACACCCTCGTACCGGCGGTGCAGCCATTGCATGAGCACAGCGACACACCATCCTATTCTTAGAAGAAGCCTTCAGCGATGACGGTTATCTCATTTGAGCCTCACTTGCATCCGCCGCCACCTTAAGGGACACCGCTAGTGCAGTGCACATTCACATATATCCGTCTCGATCTCGATTGAGTTACTCACTTTCTACGCTTAACAACACGGACCGCGAGGCATCTGGGTTGTGGAAAAAATGGGCGCGTGATGACCGCGAAGAAATTGAGGCCACCAAAAAAGATCCAAAAAGGTCGTGCTGGGATTCGAACCCAGGTATCCAGAACGTTTGCTACGCGGAACAACTGCCCATCATCAAAATCTGATGTGATAACCACTACACTACACAACCTTTTCAGGGGTGCGGAGTCGGCTACAGCATACATATACCACTCGTATTTCAGCAAAGGTGAGCTTCTGCAATCACTGTAGCTGGCCCGTCTATCTCTGAGCGGAGCTGGGTCAATTCGACGTGTCAGTTGACCTGACATCGTGCCGCGTATGATGAAGTGATGCAGCAGCTGCATGTTCACAGGCAAATGACCTGCTTTTTTGAGTCGTTTAATCCTGTGCGTTGCTGTCTTAAGTTGTCTGAGCTGCCTCTCTGTCCCGCCTTCTCCGGTTGAAAGCTTCCCGACTTCCCCCCACGCTCCCACTCTTGTGTTGGGCGTCAAACTCCACTTGATCGTCGCTCAACGCTGCCAAGCCAACAGGCAACAGACAAAGCCTTGCCGCCTCCTCCTTCTTTCTACACCTCCCTTCGTCGCTCTTCCTTTATCAATCCGCCGTCGGGATCCGCTGCTTGACGGAACAGACACACAACGATGCCGATGGGAACGCTTCCGACCGGCCTGCGCTCAGGCGTCCGGTCGACACTCCCCCGTCACCTGTGTCGAGCCGCCATCCGTCTCAGGTCATCGGCGCGCCCGTCGCCCGTCGCAGCCAAGTTCACGGCTTCCCCTGCAAAGCTTTGTACCAGCAGTATTCGTCACGCTCCCACGCCGTCTGCCGTGATCCGCGCCGAGGCGGCAGCCACTCCAGCATCGGCGTCCAGTCAGGCCGAGGGCAGCGGCCCGGCTACGCCTGGTGTCACGACCGACGCCAAGTCCAAGTCGGTCTACATCACCTGGGCCAGCGGTATTACGAGCAAATTTCACAATATTTGGCTTCGGGATCACTGCAGATGCCCTCGCTGCTATCATCCCACTACCAAACAGCGCCTCTTGAACACGTTTGAGATCGCAGCCGACGTGCAGCCCGTCTCGGTAGAGAGCACCACTGAAGGACTGGTAGTCCACTGGCCGCTGCTGCCTTCGGAACTCGCCGACTCGAGCGCGTCAGGCTCGTCGTTCAAATCTGCGTCCGCTTCGGGATCGTCTCCGTCCGCAAGCGGCTCTTCGTCCGCACCAGCACCGACAGGCTCGTCGCCGACTACCGAGACACACACCTCACTCTACCCCTGGCGCTGGCTCATGCACAACTCGTACTCGCCCGTCCTCTCCGATCCGGCATCAGTGCCCAGCGATGACTTTGGGATCAAGGGCATTGAAAAGGTGCTCTGGGGCAAGGGCATCGGCTCGGCACCTCCGACCGTCAAGTTTGACGAAGTGATGCAGAGCGACGAGGGTGTGCTCAAGTGGCTCACCAAGATTGTAAGTCGTCCCAACGAAGCGTTCTTTGTCTGCTCTGTCCGGTCACAGTACTCCTACTGACATTCTTCGGATTCTTCCTCCATGCACTCTGATCCCTTCTTACTTTGTAGGCACAGTACGGCTTCGCCTTTGTCACCGGAGTGCCGCCGACTCCTACTGATACCGAGGCGCTAATTCGACGCATCGCTTTCATCCGCGAAACTCACTACGGCGGCTTCTGGGACTTTACATCGGACCTTGCACATGGAGACACGGCTTACACGGATCTGGCGCTTCAGGCGCACACCGACACCACCTACTTTACCGATCCTGCTGGTCTCCAGATGTTCCATCTGCTCAGCCACACTGCCTCAAAGTCTGGCGGAAGCTCTGCGCCAGCTGGTTTGTCCGCGTCGTCCTCGGCGGGTTCCTCGGCGGGCGCATCTTCGTCTAGCTCTGGTTCTGCGGGTCAGTCATCTTCGAAATCATCGTCATCGTCGTCTTCCAGCTCGCCATCCAAGGGTCCGAGCGGAGGAGAGTCGCTCCTGGTCGACGGATTTCTGGCTGCAGCTGTGCTCAAAGACGTCCACCCTGAAGCGTATGCCACGCTGGGCCGTGTCAAGATCCGCACCCACTCTGCCGGCGACGAAAGCACCATGATCCGACCGCTGTACGACGGCGGCTATCCGATTCTGCAACACGACGAAGGAACTGGCGAGCTCGTGCTGGTTCGATACAACAACGACGACCGATCCGTCCTCCGAATCCCGGAAGACGAGGTAGAGGCCTTCTACGATGCCCTGGCCAAGTGGAATGAGATCCTCACCAATCAAGAAGGCGAATACTGGACCCAGCTCAAACCAGGAACCGCTCTCATCTTTGACAACCATCGCGTCCTCCACGGCCGATCCGCGTTTGTCGGAAACAGACGTCTCTGCGGCGCCTACGTCAACCACGACGACTACAGATCTAGACTCGCCGTCCTCAGGGCAAAGTACACTGCCAATCGTACTGCTAGAGGCGTCTGGGACGACGGCATCTAAACCCCACCACACTACCGCCATCCATCATCAATCACTATCCTTGAACTCTTCACGATCCCAATCATATTTGCAAGCTCCTCTACCCCTACAATTAAATCTTCTGGACACGCAGTGTTGTATCGTCAATCTGGAAACGCACACTGTAACTTTGTCATAATTGACACGTAATTACATGGAACTTTTCTCCTGTATTTGCACGTCGTGTGTGGCTATAGACGGGATGACAAGCTGATAAGTGAGCTGTAGCGAGGAGATGCACGGAAGTAGCCAAGCCAATGCCGCCAGATCTTTTGCTAGCATCTCTCGGCAAGCCAAGACACGAGTCTGAATAACACGCGGAGCCTCACCCACCACAAGCCACAAGCTAGAAGCACCCACAAAAAGAAAACAGCAAAAAAGAAGAGGAGAAAGAGACTAGAGATTCAAGGTATGAAAAGAGAGATCAAGATGAGATGAACAAGCTTGGCATACTGTACAGATCGAGAGAGCAGAGTGACGAAGAATAAGCAGATACGAACAGTGACAAGAGAGACAGAACAACAAGAACGGGGAATAGAGACGGAACACAGTGAAAGACCAAAGTACAATAAAAGACCAATTGTAGAAGCCCAAATAGTAAAAAGGTGAGGAGAATCAGAGGTTCAAGTCAAGATAGACTGAGAACGGAAAGAAAAAAGAAAAGAAAGAAAAACAAAGAGAGCGAGAGAGAGAGAGAGAGAGAGAGAGGGAGAGAGAGAAGAGAAAAACAAAGAGGTATATGACCAGCGTATTTCACATGGTCAAAGACTCCGACGCTAGCAGATCTCGAGCGGACGCGAATGCGGGGATCGCTTGCGAAGGGCAGACAGCTCGTGACGGAGGCGCTTGTTTGCGTTGTGCAGGCGTTGCATCTCGATGAGCCAGGAGCCACTGTGGAAGCCCGTGAGCTCAGAAAATACAGTCGCAGCGGCGTCGTTGGCCGTCATCACAGGCATCGTTGCACCCGTATTCGAGACAGCCGAACCGCTTAGAGATCCGCAGGCCCCTTCGCCGGCGTTGCCACTGTGCGGGCCTCCCGCACCAGCTGAGGCAGTGTCCATGGGACCGTCTAGCGACATCTTGCGCTTGCCAAGGCTGGCAGTCGATGACGGAGACAAAGCTGCTGACAAGGGACTGGAGGCAACGGGCCGAGCTGCATGGCTAGCTGCGCCGCCGCTAACGTTCAGCGCGCTCAGTGGCTGCTGCTGGACGTGAACGAATGCGAGCGAATGCGATCGTCCGTTCGATGTCCACGGATAGACGGTAAGTTTGACTGGTGCCTTGGACGACCCATCGTAGTGATCCTGCACCGAGATGCTGCGTCCGCAGCGCAGAGCCTCGAGCAGGTCAGACGAGCTGTGTACCATTGGCAAGTCGCGAAGATGGCGTCCCAGCAGATCAACGTCCTCGATACCGAGGATCTGGTTGATCGGACCGGTGCTGCCGAGGAAGATGCCGTTGTGCGAGACCTTTAGCCACGCCGAAAGCTCCGAGCGAAGCAGATCCTCGCGAACATCGTTCCAAGGCAGCATCGGGATGGGATGCGGTCGACCCGAGCAGACAACCACCTTGCGGTGCTTGGGCGGGTCGACTGACACCCGTCCAGTCGTCTCGATCAAGCTGAAGCCGCCGGACTTGCAGGCCATGCGCATGATGAGGTCGACGCGACGCTGTGGCTTGACTCCCGCTGCGCTTATAGAAGCAGCAGCGACATCACCAGAATCACCATCGCCTCCTGGAGCAATGTTGGTGATCGCCTCCTTGAGCTCACGCGAGAATGGTCCAACGTCGGCAGGGTGACAGAAATCGACGAGTGGGCGGCCCACTATTTCCTCTGGAAGGAAGCCAAGAATACGCAGAGCCGAGGGCGACATGTAGAGAACCGTACCCTTGAGAGACAGCACAAAGACGAGGTCGTGCGAGTTGGTGAGCACGGCGTCATTCCACTCTTCATGGTTCTGCGCCGAGCTGGGAACGGCACCCTCGTTCGCTGAGATCGCATCACAATGCGATCGCGTGTTCCTTCGTTGCCTCGTCAAAGTCGACTTGGACATCTCTGGAGATGAGCTGAGAGGTGCCACGTAAGCTTCGGGTGCGGAGTGCTGACGCTGACGGTTGGTGAAGGCGGTGTTCTCCTCGTGAGCAGTCTGCACATCTGTGGCGAACGTGGACGGGTGCGGCTGCGACCCAAGATGGCTGAGGCGACGGCGCTGCTGGATCGACATTGGAGTCTTGTCAGTCGACAAGGTGGTTTGTGTGGAGTTGACATTAGGTCGACCCAGCGAGCCGGCCTTCATGACTGAGCGGCTGAGGCTGTAAGCGAGCGACTTGGGGCCCGAGTGACCTGCCTCAAGCATGTTGGACGTCGTGACGAGATGCGACAGATGCTGTGCAAGGTCGGCAGCAACGTTGCTGTGGTAGCCCGATAAAGTAAGATTCGAGTCGCGCGGTGATGGCTGCGATGCCATGCTGGCAGGACTGAGAAGAGGGGTGGATGCATCTCGAGCAACTTCGTCAAACTCCATAAAGTCGTCCATAGAGACGCTCGCCTCGGACGCTGTGATAGCACTCTGGCTGCCGAGCGGTCGTGCCATGTCGGCGTCGAGACTGGGCGCATCCGCGGGAGTTCTGATGCTGGAGCTGGACGGGGCATCGTTTGA